CCGGTGCACGGTCGGTGCACAGCACGCTATGTGTGAATCCGGCCTGAGTAGACGAAATAAATTACGATGTGGTCTTCCGACCCCACCCATGTGAGTGGGATAGAACCCCGAGTGTTTGTGACATGATGCGCCACGGTTCGAGTGGGAAGGTCCGACCGGTCTGACTTCGGTAGAGTTCAGGCCGTAGCTGCAGGTATGAGTGGTATGAGCACTGCGAGTGAGGAGAGGCTACCGCACCATTAGAGAGAATCCTTAGGCCGGGTACACACTAGCGAGCTGTTGCATGTAACGTAACGGTTACTGTAACCACATTCTGTTAGTGTGGACGCCTTCCGAACCTTGCTCGCGAACGTACTTCGAGCGCGCTCTGTAACACGACCGGCGAGCCACTGCCTTGTCTGTTTTTGCTGCGAACACAAAGGGACTCGCAGTAGGCTCGTGGAAGCCACAATCGCTTGCTCGTAAATGTGTACGTTTCCTCCGATCCAGGAGTAGCGTTGCGAATCGCTATGTCTTCATGGCGAGCTCACCACGAGCACTATGGATCGGGTCGCTCGAAGCTGGTTACATGACGACTATGGAAGTATCGTCCATACGAAGACGTGGTTACAGTAACCGTTACGTTACATGCAACAGCTCGCTAGTCTCTACCCGGCCTTAGGCTGTGTCCACAGTAGCAAGCCGAGGTTCGAGCCAAGCTTCGAACCGAGGCCAGTCGCGAGCACATGTTATAACTTTCCATGCGGCTCGCAGTTATCTTCGCCAACTATGGACGTGTTTAATGCTCGTGACAGAGTTCGGCTCGCTAATCTGGACACAGCCTTACAGTGCCTGTATATTTCGTCAAATATTAACCTTTCCGTTGTCATCTGTTAATTTAACCCTGCCATACATCAAATCCGCTTACCGCTTGGCGAACTTGACTATCCTTGAAATACTGAGATAGAACAGCTGAATGCCTCTTAGAAGAAAGCCACAGTGGCCCCAGACGAGACGGCTAGTGCATAGATAATATTATGACATAATTACTTAAACACTGCCCGCTTAGTGGTAACGGCTCAGTGCCTGGGGGTGTAACCGGGTAACCATGTTCCTGGGGGATATAAATTCATAGACCTGGCCCTCCAGGTTGGGGGAGTCTCGAATCTGAGACAGTAAAATGTGGTCACGAGTCTCGCGGGACTCGGACCTTAGAATGACTGCGCTGGTGAGGACTAGGGGCAATTGGTAACTACAGACTCATCCTCTCGTTAGAGAGGGTGTTACATAAGAGCTATAACCGTAAGTTTTCCGTAGGAAAATAAAGTTACTGGTCGTCAGTCTCAAGGGGCTTGTCGCCAAGACGAACTCATCGGCGGTAAAGCTCCAGTAGTAAAGTAACACTGACACTAACTCTGACTCTGGCATAACTTGCTGCAAAAACCTTCGTTGACAGGAAAACTCTTTACACCTTGTATAAATGTTACTTAGTACAGTGCAGCGACAAGGATGCACAGAGTCCATAATGACCTGGACGCCATGACAGAGCGGATATACTCCTGCTGAAACTACGGTGCAACAAACGTAGCTCTTACTTAGAAAGACCGACCCCTCCTTCGTCGAAGAGAAGTCCCAATTTCGAAACACATATATGTCTAGGAGAGAATAAAAATCTTGGCCATGGATCTTGAGAAGACTGAATTCAGAATGACTGTGCTGACGAAACCAGCAGCAATTTTATCGACCGACTATGCTAAGGCTCCCAGAGTCGTCAGAGAGTAAAATGTGGTCATGATTCCCGTGGGACTCGGAACCAGAAATGACTGTGCTGGCGAGGGACAGCAGAAATTTAGCAGCCAGCCAGTTGTCACGGGTTACTTGTGAGATGGTCGCTTGCCGGTGGGGACGTAAGCGTGGAGGCTGAGGAATCTCCACTGTTGGAGGCCGTTGCCAAGTAACGAGTAGTAAAGGCATAAAAAAGACTTCATGCATGCTGCTGTGCTGATTTGCAGAATGTAGATCCGTGAAATTGTTATTTCATCGGCTTTCTGTTCATCTACTAAATTGCTGATAAGCTTGTACGAATAAATACAAAATTTCTCCTTCATATTCATCATCTGGCCCTTTCCGGCATGATCGATTTTTTTCTTCAAAATATCCTCTATTTTGCCATAGCGGTGTATATTTCTCATATACCGTACGTTCCTTAAGACCAGGGTGCAAAGAACTTTAAAGATTTGTCACAAGACTAAACTTATTACAATGGTAAAGGTCGGCTAGGTCAACATACTACTTATTTCGCCTTCTCTTCGTCAGAGGATAATATACTACATACATGCCCGTGGGGGGGGGGAGCAGGGTCATTTGTCCCATGTCTCTGTCTAAGAAGGGTTGGGAACAATATGTACGCTTATTTAATTTAGAAAATTAACATCAGGCAAGAATGTGGAAATTGACTTTAATGGAACTATTGACTTTCTATTCTTGGCCTTTCCTCGATATTCGTTTTTGTTGTTTCATTCATTCATCAGTAATCTGTCAGACGACAGGTCCACAGTCTCTTCCAAAACAGTTCCTCCACTTAATGCGATCTTCTGTTTTTGGAAAGAGACTATCCAGGAAAAGTGATAATGTGGTAGTTTTTCCATTTGCTTTCCACATCGCAGTACAGCAGCCGTTCAAACCACTCTGGTCACGCCTGTTGCTATACGAACTTGAACCATCTCGAGCATCATTTGTTCTGTGCTTCAAGTCGCTACTGATGACGCTGCTTCCGGCATCAGTTTTTGTTGTTTAGATGTTAAAAATAAGATTTTTAATAGTTGTTCCTAAATATATTAATATATTTATATGCTTTTCAGAGTGGAGCGTGGACCCCATATTTGTGACTCGCCCAGCCTCCATCTGAACTCTCTCAGGCCTTGAATGTATAATATTACACAGCCCTAATGTTGTCTTAGCCTCAAAGGATAGTACAGTCACGAAGAGTATATATTTAATTATGAGAAATGAAATGTAAGATACAGTTGTCTTTAAGACATGTAGCATTCGAACTAAGTTTCATGAAGGTCGTGAAATTAAGTTGCTATGTTAGAAGAGACAGACAGTCGCACATAGATATTGTCACGTAGTTGAGTGTGACTATAAACCGAGTTTGGATTGGTGAATAGATTTATTGACCAATTATACACACAACTCGGAACTACAAGTAATTACAGCGCCGTTGCTAATCTCCACAATTCACAAATCACCACGGCACCCGCTAAGCCTTTTCCAGCCTGCCGTATCTTCACCAGCCATCCCCTGGTAACGGCTTCTAACAGTGGAGATTCTTCAGCTTCAGGCTCTCAGGTTCTATCTTGACAACCTCCCGTGCTGAACTCAGCTGACAACTGCCTAACTCCCAGGCTGGTGGCCATTTCACACCAACCTCCCAGTCTTCTCTAAACAAGCTGACTTTCAACTTTTTTCTTCACAGCCTCCCGTCCAGGACTGCCTCTGAACTGACAACCGACTACAGACTACTGACAACTAACTGGATCGTTCCAATTGTCTTCTTTATATCCATTTTGCACGGACATAGTAGAAAACATCGTTTTCAACAGTAACTATTTTCGTGTGCGTATTCGTCGCAGCGGGAACGTGCTTACCGATTCGTGGCCTAGAAACGGATTGCTTACCACCTTTGTTTATTCGCCTATTGCATAGCAACGGCACTACACGCAACATTTGTTACGATGTTTGTTTCGAGGACTTTGCCTAGCAACGGGTCTATACGGCACAGTACAGTAAAAGCGTACATCTACGGTTCCTTATGTAATAACGAACAGGAAAGAAATATCTTTCAGGAATCGAATCGCCAATGCATTTAGTTCCTCATCCACATGCCGTTATTATTATTAGTTATTTTAGAGAGGGTGGGTTTCCCCATGCACCGCGACCAGTTTGAACTATTGTGCTTCCCTCTATGATATTCTACCAGTCTCTTTACACTACCGATAAATGGTGCGTACCATCAGTCCCGCCGAGCAAGCGAGTTCGGCTACTTGCTTAGCGGTGTCTATAATGCTTCCCCCATCTATCAGAGGCATTAGAGACTATTGTTGGGCGGGAAACGTCCTGGAATTTGGCTCAGTGATCTCCCTTTGGGGATATGAGGTTCTTTTACGTGCCGTAAAGTCCCTCCCGGAGGACTTGTTCCCTGAAATATTTTCCGCCCTTAAAAATTCTACGACCTCAGCCGGGTATTTGAACCCGCTTACCAAGAGTCATGACGTGGGAACGTTACCTCTAGACTACGGAGGCCGCTCACATGCGCTTATATTTTGTGACATATTAACGTTCATGTGTTATCACATTGGTGCGCCCACAACTTTCCCCACTTGGTACTGACTGGCACAAATGCTTGATGCAGTGTAAGTTCTTAATGCCTGTACATCCATGGTGCCAGTACAAGCTCGAGATACAGTAATCTACGTCGTAGACGAAGTGTTTTGGGTGTACGACCTACCATGTGATCTTCACGTGATACCCGTGATATCACCCCCCCCCCTTTCCAAAACAACAACCACCTAGGCCAAGACACTGTACAAAAACGTAGATCTCCAACAATTGTAACGGATAGATGACGAGTAGGTTAGTAGTCTGTGGAGTCACGAATAGTAATGTACACATTTATGTTGTTTTTAAGTAAATTGCAATGTCATTCTTGACGACAGATGGACTTCTTAAAATTGCTACGAATGTGAGTCTTGCATAACATTTAATTTGCGTTCTCATCGTGACGTGACATTTCTCTGAAAGGTAAGAAGTGTTACTAGTAATGAACTTTGTAAATCCTGGCTCAGTGTATAGATTTTTTTTGTGCATTCCATAAGCATCTTGACGTTTATTTATTGCAGATACAAACCTACTGTTAACGAAGCACAACGACAGAAATTATATTTCCACGTATTTCGTTTGAATTGTTTATTTCGTTTAATATCCATCATTCCGAAAAATGTTTTAGATAAAACTTGTAGATCTTACGATTATAATATATGACAATGAACGTTTATTCGAGCTTTATAAAGAATTGGGGTCAATTTGAACCAAAATTAAATTCTTTCGAAACCTAAACTGAATCTAATTCACTGAGTACCTTCAAAAATCAAACACGTGGACTTCTTCGTTATGTGTTTAATTGTACGTTCTGTAAATTGACAAAATGTTTACATGTAAAAAACAACATACTGTTAGCTGCGTAGTGTTTCCCGTTTTATATCAACAGAAATAACACCGATGCGCTAAATTCAATGGTATGTGCTTCGTTTTTAATCGCAATCTAAATAATAAACGGTGGCGTTGAATTTGTTCGATAAAGGGAATTCCCCTCCCAGGACAGTATCACATAATCACTTAAATAACTGGCAGAAAAGAAGAATAATCATTAGAAATGAAAAATACTTCGAAAAAATATGATGGTGGTTACACATTTTCCTCTCCCTCGCACATGGTTTGAGCCGTTTTCATCTGTAGCACGGATGGGGGGGGGGATATTTTAAGCAGTGGTGCCGAACAGTGAGGAGACCCGTTCGTATACTATATTTAGAACGAGAATCGTACTGTCACTGCGCGCTATAAACATTCTCATGGTGTTAACGGACGCAGAATTGAACGGAACTTGGCGCTTAGAGGAGAATCGGTGTAATATCACAAGAGGGACTGATTTTTGTTTTCCGTTCCCTTCCATTATGTGGAAACATTAAATGTGGCTCATTAAAATAGTGTGTTGGGTATAATTTTGACCTCCTCTGTGGTATAGCTACAGATCCAGAGTTCCCGGGTTCGATTCCCGACTCTGCCACTTTTTCTGAGAAGTAATGGGCCTGGAACGGGGTCCACTCACCCTCATGAGGATAACTGAGGAGCTGTTTCAAGGAGATAGCGGCTCCGGTGTAGAAAATCGAGATTAACGGGCGTGGGGATCCATTGCGCTGACCACGCGACACCCTCAATCCGCAAAAGCTGACATTAATTTCGCCGACAAGCGGCGGTCGCTCGGTCAGTATAGTTCGCTTGCGGGCTACAGGCCATGGAGTTTTTTGTTGTTTGTTTCAGGCATAACTGTTGTCTTAAATCGTTACATGTTCATGAACTTAATTGAAAGTGTTTTGTTTGATTCACTGTGAATTTTAAACCAACGGAGGGTAACCTACTTTTGCGGTTGAAGCCATAAATGGGTACGCATTTCCGGTATACGTGTTAAGTTCAAATTAACAGGAAAATGTAAATGAATAATAAAACGTTAAAGTTAATGTAAGTTTAGTAAGATGTCATAATGTACCTTATATCTACAGATAAAGATGAATAAAATAAAAAAAAAAGTTTATGGAATTTTTAAAATTGCTTTTCGGTTAGCATTTTTTTTTTTAAATATTGGATCGATTTTTGGGCTGATAACAAAAAGATTTTGCATAAGAGAATCTATTAGTACATACATTTGCATTTGTTTGTAATAAAGATCATTGTATAAAATTATTTCCACGAGTGTAAGTGACCCAAATTTACACATAAAGCGCAGTACAATACATGCATAATTTGGATAGTCATATTTTGGACCAAATTTCCATATCAACCCCCACAAATATCTGTAAATATGCATTTATAATTCAAATTTATGAACACAGCACAAAAAGGGCTATTTGAGATATTCGAAAACAGCTGGTTTTGAAGTTCTGGTCTATATTCGAACTACGTACTGTTCATTTCTAGTTGACAACAATAGAATGAAAACATATCTTACGTTATAATGAGTTTCTGGTATATACTGCAGCTTAACTTTTCCTGCTGGCCGTTGTGTTATGGGTCTACGGAAAACGATTAACATGTCCAACATGATTAAAGGTTCATGAAAGCTCATGAAAATATAGGGGGCACGCAGTAGCATAGTTGGTTGACGCGCTATGCTACAAGCCAGAAGGTCGCGGGATCGAATTCCGATTAGGTCACTGGATTTTCCAATTGACCTAAGCCTTCCAGCCGCACTATGGCCCTGGAGTCGACTTAGCCTCTAACAGAAATGACTACAAGGAATCTTCCTTGGGGGTAAAGGGCGACCGGCTCGTAAGGCTGACAACCTTACCGCCATCTATGAGCCATCTGTCTAGAAGATATAGTAGCTTAGACCTCTCACACCCCTATGCGCATTCACAGTCTGTTACAGGGACGCCTTTACCTTCTTTACCGTATGAAAAAGGAATATTTCATGTTCCTAAATATTATGGAAAAAACATATTTTACACGCTCATATGTAACTATTTATTTCTACGACGCTTCACTTTTCAGTGAACATTCTGCGTCTTCACGCGAACCACTCCAAATGCCTCTGCGGGCCCCCGTTTGGCATGTATATTTTAATGTTCGCACGCTTTCTTCCAAATTATACTCTTGCCCTAGGTATTTACTTAAATCACAAAACATTAAAGGTAAAGTAAAAAGTAAAGTAAAAGTAAAGGTATCCTTGTAGCAGGCCGTAGAGGCCCATAGGGTTGTGAGATGTTGAGGTTCCCACAATTTCTAGACAGTTGGCTGATAGATGGCGGCAAGGTTTCAGCCTGACGCGCCGCCCGCTCTTTGTCCCCAAGAATATTCCTGGTACTCATTTCTGCTAGAGACTGATTCGACCACAGAGCCATAGTGCGGCTGGAAGGATTAAGTAAATTGAAAAAAATCTAGTGACCTCATGGGAATTCGATCCCGCGACCTTCCGGCTTGTAGCATAGTGCCTCAACCAACTACGCTACCGCGTGCCCGAAACGAAAAACACTAAATCAGATAATTCAAAGGGCACAAGTAAATAACATACTACACAAATTCATCAAGTAATAATTACTATACAAGCATAAACCAGAAACCTTCTGCTAAGAGAAGCAAGCCTGACCTCACTGAACTCTGCGCAACTGGCCCATTAATAAGGCACCGGGCAACCTTTATATTATTGTGTGTTAGAAATAGTAATCTAAGTGGACTAAGGGCGGCAAAGACCCTTAAAATTGGAAGACTTTACCTAATTACAACAATGTTGCCATTCAGTGTTAATGCGACCATCTCATTAGCTCGAGGACCACTAGCATACAAATAAACGTAGTAAAGAATAGCAGCGGCACGCACACAGGGAGACCACACAAAATAACACCTGTGCAGTGCTGGAAACAAGAACTAGCCGCTGCAGCAATATAGACATAGGGCGAGTAACCCTGACAATTTTAAATTTTAAAATTTAGAGTAAAATTTTCAAGGATTTTAAAAATAGAACTGAAGATTTTATAAGTGCTAACGTGTGTAACAAAAATAATCTATAAACCAGACAGATATCAACGAAGTAGATGTTGATAATAACAACGAAAGGAACAGTGTGTTTTTAAACGTTAAATTTTAAACTAAGTGCAGTGTAACAGCAACGCGAGTGTATACACCTGATGATGGCAGTTTGAGGCCGAAACATGTAGTGTAAAGGAGAGCAAGATAAAGGACATATAATATATTGTTTGCACTTGGGACGGAGTTCATATCATTTAACAAATAATCCTGTTTCGGATCGGACTTCAGTTTGGTTAGTGTGGTGTTACTAAAATACTGGGCTCCTTGTACCCCGAAGTTATCTCTAGGGTTAGTTAATTAAGCACCCCGTCACGAAGACGTGTGAGGGAATGGAGTTATAGCTCCACCATTCTTGATCTCGGCACCAGATGGAAGCGAGCGGTCAGCTTCACGGCTCTGTCGCTTTACCCCCGGAAAAAACAGCCACCGATATGCATTGTATAGGAGACTGGGTGGGCCCCATAGTCGGTCTTGACGTCATGGAGAAGAGAAAAGCTTCTTGCCCATCCCTGGGGTCCATTTATTTTCTTGTTGAAGAAAGCAGTTTTCTGGGATTTGGCACCGTGTATATGTGGTGTTAACCGACGTTTCGGAGGAACGTATCGCCTCCATCTTCAGGGTGGAAGAAAAAATATAAGAAATCTGCAAGCGAAGAGACCGTGAGAACCGGTGAGATTTCTTATATTTTTTTCTTCTACCCTGAAGATGGAGGCGATACGTTCCTCCGAAACGTCGGTTAACACCACATATACACGGTGCCAAATCCCAGAAAACTGCTTTCTTCATAGTCACCGCCGTGAAAGCCTCAGATCTTACATATTTTCTTGTTATTGACCAAAAATGAATTTATTTTATGGAATATTTATTAGGATTTTTTCATGTATAATTATATTTAGTTCCGTCAGCACTACTTTTTGTGTAGACGTACTGTACGTTAAGTATTTAGTGCTACATATTTTAGTCTTTCGGTCATCATCATCATCATCATATTGTGCATTCACTGTTGGCTTGGCTGTTGCTTCCCTACAATGGCCAATGCATACATTCAGTGTATTCTATGTTATAATTTTTTTTCTTTTGCTTTCATGTGCACTGCTCACTGTTCGACATTAAAACTTTAACATGTATCACATAATGTTATTCAAGTATTCTGAAGCATTGACCAGTGTGGTGAAGGAGCAGTCAAGTAACAGTGAATGCACAGTACTTGATGGTATCCGAAAGGCCGAAACATGTAGCAATAAATAACAAACAAACAAAACTCTGTGGCTTTAGTCTGCAAGAGAACTATACCGACGGAGCGACCGCCGCTTGTCTGCGAAGTTAGTGCCAACTTTAGAGGATAGAGGGTGTCGCGTGGTCGGCGCAAAAAATCCTCACGACCGTTAATTTCGGTTTTCTAGACCGATGTAAAAATGAATACTGAACATATAGTATCTCTATACAGAAAGTTGTGCTGACGAAGCTAAACACAATGGAGAATATAATAGAACATGACGCGACAATCCATTATTTTTCAATGTAAACAACGTGTATACTTCCTTTGTGAATGTTCACTGCACAGATTGGATGTAACAAACAATAACAATTATCTAATTTCGTGAAACGGACTACTCTTTAAAAAGCCGAGTCACTCAGCTGGATTAAGGAATTCCCTGTCTTTTATGGAACCTGCAGCTTCATTACGGTGTTCACAAAAGACCGTCACTATTCTTGATCCTGAACCTGGTGAACCCAGTCCAAGCCCTGACATTTTCTTACCTTAATGTCCACTTGATCCTACTCTCATATCCATGCCTGTGCTTCCTAAGTGGTCCCTAACAATATTTAACGGAGTGCTAAGCCCATCTTTAAGCAGTCTTCTCCAACCTCTTTTTAGTGCTTCTGCTCTTTGATTTAATCATTCCCTGCAGTAGCCCATTTTCGAACCATCTCAGGTTAAGAGACGAAGATTCACATCGTGTGTATGGAACTCGTGTTAATGTATTTGAAACTAAAAAGGGCAAGTTAGTGAGTGAATGCCCGCTAGAATCACCCCTCATAGAGGGGGAGTGACTAGTAGTATTCAGAACCCTCCTCCGAGAGGAGTCCTCTCGCCCCAGAGGAGGCACCGTTTCGAAACACTCAGAAGTCTTTGAAAGAAAAAAATATGGTCATGGGTCCCGACGGGACTCAAAATCATTATTGGTTGTGCTGGTGAGGGCCAGTGGCAATTTTCCCGACGAACCAAAACCAAAAAACGGCCAGTTTCAGTTCATTGGAAATTGAAAGTAATGCAGAAATCAACATTTGTTAATCTAATTCTGTAGAAAGTCATACTTTGTTCCAAAAATATGAATATAGATCCGAGTGAAAATATTTAGATGAAGCAGTAAAGTTTAAAAGTTTGTTATACAGCGACTTGCCGTATAAAATAACATTGTTCTATTTCAGACCAACGTGTGAGCACTGCCTCACCAAAAGAACATAAATTGGAATTGTTTCAGAAGAGGGTGCTGAGGAGAGTATATGCACTTTTCATTCGTAGGCAAGTTGAAAGGTTTGGGAGTCCCATGTCGCCCACGGACATAAAAATTTGATCTGCACAACTCTCAGAAGTCTTCAAATCCTGTTAAAGAAAATATGTAAATAGTGGTTAAGAGGGAGGAACTAAGAGGAGGCTGGAGAAAGTTTCAAAAAGAATATATTCGTAATTTGTACTCTACAGCAAGCATTGTTAGCGGGGCAGAATCAAGGAGAATGAGATGGGCCAGTGATGCAGCACACATAGAACAGATGAAACTGCCAATAGAATTATCTTTGGAAGTTATAAAGGAAAGAGATAACTTGAGTGACCTAGGTGTAGGTGGTAGGATAATGTAAGAATGGATCATTAAGAAATGGGATAAGTGGATTAGGCTATCTGCCTCAGGATATGGGGCAATGACGGGCTTTGTGAACACAGAACGAAGCCTCTTCGGTTCCTTGAAGGGGAATTTATTGAGAAGTTGATCGACTTTTATCTTCTCAAAAAAGATTTTGCTCCATGGAGTTCGTCATTAACGTCATTGTGTTAATTAATTATTTAGTGTTAATGCATGCTGCTGTGGATATAATATTATCAACTATGAATATAATCCCATCTGATGCGGCAATACATACATGCCTTCTGATAAGGGAGGTACACAGTCCACAATAGAATTCAGCGCTTTCGAGTAGAGACAATTTCGGATAAGTGTAATAAGTTTAAACAATTTGAAATAAAGCAAATATTTTAACTTCAGTAAATTTGGTCTCAGCTCACTTATGCGAAATTAAATATACTGAAAAGTTATTTATGCTGAATGCTAGATTTTTATCACTCTTGAATTATAGTTAACACTAAGTGATTGGTAGACAAATATTTCGTAATGACCATGAATCTGGAAGACACTGAGCCAAGACAGATTTATTTAGAGGCGTGATATCTTATTTAAAGCTCGCTATAGATATAGTCTCATCACTAATAATTGATCTGTCTTGGAAAACAGCTATTTACTGCGCAAAACAAGATGTTGATTAAGTGCTTAATTGTAATTCAAAAACCCGATAACAGTTAGAATGTACTGTATTCTGGTATGTGACTCAATACATTCATGTAGTCTGATAGATCGCTACATTTCAGAGGATTGTCGGTAACAATCTGTTGGACTGCATGGCGCCACATCCCAGAAGACTGTAATCTCCATAGTCACATTAGTGACAACCTCATCCTTATAAGTTTTGCTGTCATAATTTGTTCAGTAACAACCTACAACTTTTATTATCAGTTCCACAGTCTTACGTGCAACACTAATGTTCTATAAAACTTATTAAAGTTTTATGCTACTTTTTGACCAATGTGGTCATCATCAGGCGTTAAAAATTATGGATGAGGGAACTGCTGTCTCCTATATCGTTGCTTAAGTTGTTAATATTTAATCCCCTTGGTGTGCATGTGTCTCTAACATGTATAAGTCCTATTAGAATTCATGTTTGCGAAGTTCATTATGTGTCATATAATTAATTGTTTGTGTAAAAAAAAAAAAAAAAGTAAAGCTATCCCTGTAACAGGCCTTGAAGGCCCATAGGGTTTTCAGACATTGAGGGTCCCACATTATCTAGACAATCGGCTCAAAGAATGCGGTAAGGTTGTCATACTTACGCGCCGGCCACACTTTACTCCCCAGGAAATTTATTTAATTAATTCCTGGTACTCAGTTCTGCTAGATGCTGAGTCGACCTCAAGGCCATAGTGCGTCCGGAAGGATTAGGTCAATTGAAAAAGAAAGTCCAATGACCTCATCGGGACATGAACCCGCGACCTTCTGGCTTGTAGGATAGTGCCTCAACCAACTACGCTACCGCGTGCCCCACTTGTTTGGTTATGAAAATAAAAATAGAATAATAAGCAGAAGATGTAAATACACTATAAAAATACCATATATTCAAAATCAGTAGAGCTGGATTACACAAGAACGATGCACGTATCGACCTTTATAACCTAATATTCGAGGTCATGCAGGAATTAATCGCCAGATAACGAAGCACGCACGCACGCACACACACAAAATACCCAGCCAAAGTCAAGAAACATTTGAAAACAAGACACACAAAAAAAAACACAAAAGGAACAAAACCCACCACCTCGAGTAAGCACAGAGACAAGTAATTATACAGTGTGTCCACAAAGTCCCTTCTGGGTTTTGAAAAATTGTGGCAGGCAATCAAATTGAGTTAGCCATATGCGGTTTGCGGCAAATCATAGTGAAGCTCTGGAGTTTTTTTATTGACCTCAGTAGACCTCGATGTGAGCTCCCTTGGTAGCATGGAGAACGTCCAGACTATATTCGAGTGGACATGCTCCACAGAACATCGTCTGGGCGTTCTCCATGCTACCAAGGGAGCTCATCGAGGTCTACTGAGGTCAGTAAAAAACTTCCAGAGCTTCACTATGATCAGCCCCAAACTGCATATGGCTAGCTCAATTTGTTTGTGCGCCACAATTTTTCAAAACCCCGAAGGGACTTTGTGGACACAACACAACAAACTTCGCATATATGAATTCTAATAGAAGAATTGATACATGTTACAGACATACATGCGCACTGAGGGGACTAACCGAAGCAACGATACAGAAGAAAGCAGTTTCCTGATCCATAATTTTTAACCCTTGATGATGACCACATTGGTAGAAACACGTAGTGTAAAACATTAAAGTGAATAGATTTTAATAAGTTGTACAGAACATTAGTGTTGCACGTGAGACTGTGGAACTGATACTATGTGAAAAGTGCAACAGGATGCTATAATATAATATTAATACAACTTTTGTTTCAGTTGTTCTCTTAAGATGGTCAGTTTATAAGGAAGTCGACACAGTTCTGTATTTTTGGAGAGCAACTTGAAATGGTCAATAATCTTCATGAATTTATTGTAGTTAAAATGAAATAATGTGTGCATTAGAAAGTCGGGTTTATGTGGTGGATGGTGGTTTTGCTACGCAGTTGTGTAACCACGTAAGTGATCCAATAGACGGCACACCTCTATGGAGTGCTAGTTTTCTTTATTCCAACCAAAATGCAGTCATTAAAACGCATCTGGATTTCCTACGAGGTAGGCACATTTATTACGCACATATATTTAAAATATAAAAGTAACAGTTATTGTTCTGTTGTTGTGATCAGATCCAAAGCTAAATTATATATTAAACTTTTAAAGCCTAATGGTTACTATATGCACGAACTGGTTTAACATACTAGAATTCTGCATTCTGCCCACAAAATGTGTTTCATATGGTTCTCACAATAAGCATCGGATGTTTTCCTAAACAGCATTAACCGGCTGGTCCTTGTAGCGGAGACACAGTGTGTTTCCTGTGAGGTACGAACTGAATTTTTATATTTAGTTTGGAAAAAAATTCGGTCTTTAAAGGTTTACTGCTGAAGTGAATATATCCTTTAGTTGTTCATTTGTTAAAATCCATATTCATTAATCGTTTTTGCTGCACAGTCCGAAATGTACTGTCAGTCAGGGATTCTAATATCTAAATTTTATTGTGTTGATATGAGTCTGTAAGACATATCAACATGAAGGGTTTGTTTACACCGACTTTATTATTTTACTAATAAACCACTGGAGGCACAATAGATCACTGTGGTCGCGGTGCAAGGGCCAAGAAGGCCCGCCCCTTATACAGTATACCACTGTATTAAAATTTTGAAACCATACTAACACAAAGGAACCCTTTTTATTTGTTTATGTTTGTATCTACCCCATGCCTCCAAATGTTTACCTCACTTTATTCTGCCTCCATGTTGTATGGTACCACCTACTCTGATACCTTCCTTTACATTCTTGGTATGCATCAAACCAGCTACCTGGTACGAAGTCTTTCCGAAATTAACAGTTGCTCGGTTGGTCAAGAAACTTCTTGCTCATATGAAACTATAAGGTTTCTTGTCGTGTTCGCTGAACTCGCCCCTGGAACCTGATGGGAATCAATACAGCCCAGCTCACCGATTCATGTCATCCCAACGGCTTAATATTTTGTGTTCTACGCTGAGGTTTAATAATGTCCTTGCATGTTTGCCAAGTCTCTTGGGGAGATTTTCCCAGCTTTAGGGCCCGGTGGACGAATTATACGCACTTAAGGGAGACCGATTATCCAGCTAATGAACAACAAGTACAATAATCTAAACCTAAGCGAACGCTCTTCATGTATTCTCCTGCCATAATTGATGACTGATTATGCCATGTCATGAAAATGACTATGTCAGAAAGCAAGTTTACGAAAACATACGTTTGCACATTTTAGACAAGTACACAGAGTGTATCAAATAATTTATTAAATTAAAATAAACCTAGACATTTCAATACTGAAGTAACTGCACATAATGTAGGTACTGAACTGGGCTTAGATTCTCAGGAAGAATACAAGAAGGGAAATATACTTATGTGACGATAAGGGCGATATTTCACCGAAATGTCAGTTGACTTTCAAGGGACTACACGGCGTTGTATCCCAGAAGAGGGTATTCTTCATAACCACCGCTGTGGGGCCCTGAAATCGTGTGGAAATGTACGTATTCCTTCCTGAAACAGAAGATCTATTAAGGACAAACATTAGACTAAACACATCTCACACTGGATATTATAAATGCTTATTACAGCTTACTGGTTTATCTCTCGTCTTTGTGTAAAAATCACAAGGACAGTCATTAGGGAAATCTGAAACACTACACGCCGAGTGTGCCTACAACAGTGAGCACAGTGTATAGAGATAACCATACTCACAATCTCTTCTAGTTTGTTTGCAAGAAATCATGAAGTGGACATAGTGTATAGCAAGAAAGCATGATTAGGTATTGTATTTCAATGCTGTAGCACGAAGAGTATGTCCTGAAAATATATTAACAACTGCTCGTTTACAAAACACTGCGGAACAGTTTCGCGCAGTCGCCATGAGCGTAATATTATACCATCGCGAATGCGAATAATTTCCCAGTGCCTGATTTTCCGCTAATGCGACGATAATAAAACCATAGTTTATTCAGATTCTTTGCAACTAAAACTCTGAATAAGCATTAGGATTACACACTTTTCTTGAATGAGTAGAAAAACAAGAAATAAATAATCACCTGTGCTTACCACAGGCAAATCTCGCAGTAAACGTTACAATAAAATGGACGAAACATAAAATTTCACTCCGCCTCTCACAGACTAAACTAAAGTGGCGCATATTCATATTGCCTTCGTTTCTATTGTCGGCCGCTAAACATCGCCGCTATTACGAACTTTGTTATCTACTACACGTCTTCGGAAAATTAAGGACGCAGAATTCGACTACCTGTCCCTACTCTTTAACCGATTTCGCTGTTCTTTTATCGCTTGAATTAAACAGCGTAATTGAAAAATTCTCTCCAGCCGCACTATTTCTTGTAACTTATTGGTTTCGCATTGTCATTACTTTCCATAAATCTAGTCCAGTGCTTAATTCAGTGTTAGTACTATGTCTGGCGTCATTTCGAAAAGGTTTCTTTACAGTCACCCCAGTTCTCGCATTTCTTATACGGAATGATCGTCTGAAAGCTACCGGAAAATCGTTCGGCCAGCCGCATAGATGGGAGAGGCAGATGATCCTTGTGCCTACTCGGGCAGCAGAGACTCTGACTAGTAGTGGTCTCGACAAACCAAGAGCCCATGCACATTACGCATCGTCTTCAATATCGTCCCGATAAATAACTGAACAGTTAACTTGAAGCAAGCATATACGTTACTTGCTGTTCGAGCGTAATCTCGTGCAACAATACTAAATATTCGTTCAGTCGCATTGCGTCTTGTGCCAAAATTTCACATTCATGTACATCTGTGTGAAAAGTGGTGTTGTAAGAAAAGTAACGAGAAGATTACGGAGTTAATATCAGGATGACGCAGTTCTAGGTAGAAAAAAAAAACTCCATAGAATCACTAATACATAACGACATGGGAAATGATTTTTAGAAAAAAAAAGGGAGGGGGAAGCAAAACA